CCCGGCCGCCACCGGCCGCAGCGGGTACAGCCGGGCGGGGGCACGGCACAGGACGAAAAAGATGATGTGAATTGTGTGAAGAGAGCCACGTTATCAAATAAGCAGCATCGTGCAGGCAGAGTTGGAAAGTCCCTAACTGGTGAGTGGGGCGACTAAAATCTTGCTGGTGTTGTGGGAGTTTCATTCTGCCAGAGATGACAGCTAATTCTTCTAATTCACTTCTAATTCCTCTTTTCTGTGCCCTTTGCTTTATGAACAAATAATAACCTTTCTTCCTGAAGCAGCCAGAAGTATGGATATCCCCGTTCCTGGCCGTGCCCCGGTTTCCTCAAAAATTGTGTGCTTAGTTACTTCACATATTAGAGATAAAAATCAGGGCAGTTGTTTTCAGGTCACTTTTACTGAACTGGATGGTGTGGCCACTGCTCCTGGTGGCCTGTGTAACTCAGCAGCTGCTTCTTGGGGGAGGTGGGTGTCCCATTCCCCCTCACCCTGGGATACATATATTGTACCAACACACCGCTGCTTTCCTATACAGGCTTTGCTTTTGTGGCTGTTCATGCAGTTAACAAGACATAATATGTGCTGCTGGAAGCAGGCCTGTTACAGTTCGGGCATGTGTGAATAAGTCTCGTAAATCAGCTCCTTAAAATGGTCAAAGGGTGGGAAAAAATCCTGGTTTAGGACTAAAAAACCCAGACAGGGTACTGTGCTATTGGTCTGCAGGCCTGTTCCGCCAGCTGCAGCCTGTCAACCTGACTCATCTGGTGGACAACCTCAGTGGGCTGAGCCTGCCAGTGCATCTCCTCGAGGGTCAGGAACAGCAGACACAGCTCTCCACTGGCCTCTGCGAAGCTGAGCTGGCTGCACAGGTAAGGTACTAGGACTTTGCACGGTTCCTCGGGTGGAAGAGAGTTGTCCAGAGCAGCACATGTCACTGAGGATATCCTCACCACTAGCAGTCTGACTGGTTTCTTGGAATAAGAGTGAGTGCTGTGACCCTTGGCTTCACAGGAAATCACATGGCACCAGGGGTGCAGTTTTCCATGCTGCACTGCTTCGTGAGGTGTGGTGACCCTGACTCACAGCTCTCCCCTCTCTTTGAATGTTGTGTTCAGTGAGGCTTTAATGGGCTTATTCTGAAGTGTTACTTTTGCTCAAAATGTGCTAGGTTCAGCTTTAACCAACCTCTTTCCCCACTTTTACCTCACACAAAGCTTTCTGAATGTGCCAGAGGAAGCAGGGACAACAAAGCTAAAACAAGACTTTCTCATTTCCTCTTCTAGTAGTGACTAAGAAATAACTCCAGAGAGAGGTACACAGATGACATTTTAATGAAGGGCTGTTGTGCCTGCAGAGGCACATGTCTCTGTGTGCCAGGGTCCCCTCACACTGCAGCCGTGTTCCCCCATTAGCTCGCTGCCACAACAGGTCTACCCTTGTCCCAGTGTAGCACTCAGTGTAGACCCAGCTTCCCATCGGGTGCGCTTTGTGCTTCAGAAGACAGCTAAACTGCACCCTTTGAATGGTGTTATTGAGCAATGCTCAATCTGCAATAGCTGAGCCATCATTGTTTTGTATCGAGGTGTACTGAGTATCGACATCTAAGAGCAGTAGTACTGGTATTATCTGTGACTGCTGCCTGTTATTAGGGCTTTAATCCAAATCCCATTGAGACCATTAAGAAAGAGGGTATTTCTTCCATCAAAGCAATACTTCCATACCACAGTTACTGGATTTTAAACTCCAGTAACCCAAAAGAAGCAAACGCAAAAAAAGACACCAATTCAGAAATGTAAATGGCTTTATATTACTTTATTAAACAGCCAGTTCTAAAGAACAGTAAAAAATATGAAAACATGCATCATTTGGTGTTCTTAAAAAACATGTGTCCAAAGTAAAGACTGTTAGAAAAATTAAAGTTTAGCCCCAATCTACCTTCTGCTCTCCAGATAAAAGATGTCTGGCAGTTATAAATACTGTTCTATCTCCTTTAGCAAAGTTTACCAATGTATACATTAGTATTTCTATGATAGGTCGGGTTGGGGGTTGTTGGGTTTTGTTTGTTTTTTCACATTTCTTCTGTAAACATGACCAATTTAAAATTGCCTTGTTAGCAAGCTTAAGGAACTCCTGTTTTCCTGTACAGTAAATACAAATAGGAAGATTGTGGGTTTTCCTGCCATTCTAATCAGCGCTCCATTTACGGAAATTTTTAAGATTTCAATTAGTATAAAAATACAACCAGAGAATAGATGTCTGAGAAGATCCAGTATTTGAGTGAGTCTTAGTTAATAGGCAAATAAAATGCTCTTGACTTCCAAAGCTGAAGATCTCTTCTGTACAGCTTCTGCCCTTCTGAGATCCAAGTATCACAGTGCTGTACACACACACACTGGTTATACCTCTGAAACATTCGCTTCTTATTTACTACAAATAATTTAACATTTAGCTGAACTAAAAAGCAGATGTTAAGAGATGGATGCCCACGTTTGGTATGCATACAAAGGTCAAAGCTGATGAACAGGCTATGCCAAGGGACACCTGCTCTTCAGGAGGGGGACTTAGTTCTCAAAGTGTCTGTACAATTTAGCAGGAGTATGATATTATTTAGCAATAGACTGACTTCTTGTTTGGTCTGGGAGATCTACAAAGCAAAAATCACAGACTTGTTCCCTTTCCCTACAGAGACTGAAATAACTGGCTTGGTCCCTGGAGAGAATTCTGAGCAAGCGGCTCTTTGGGAAGCCTTGTTACTGGAAATGCTGACATTATTTTACTAATGGGAATTAATATTTTTCTAAAGCAGTTTTGATACACATTTATCATTTTTATCTAAAATTAAAATGTCAAATTTTTTAAGTTTTCCTCTTGATTTTTTTATTTTTCTTCCCATTTAAGAATCAGACAAAAGTGGTGCATCTGAATGTGTTACGAGTGAATTTCTTACACGAACATTGCCTTGATGCAGATGACATTTGGCTTGTATGCGCTATCATCTTCCATAATGAGCTCCAGAAATCTGTAATTTTAAAATTCATCTTTTACACTATGATGAGAACTCTCAAAGGTTTTGTAGCACTTCTCAAGTATGAAACAGTACAAGAACAATCTTATATGACTATTTCTTCCAAATGTTTTAGAGCAGCATTTTGTACCTGCCTACTTCTAGTTCTTTTGTTTGGATTCCCGAAAACAAAGGGAAATGGGACACAAAATCTGACCAGCCAGTAGGTACCCAGTGAAGCCAGTCCATCCTCACTAGGGAAGAATGTGTCTGAGCACTCAGCACCATGTGAAGAGCAACAGCTGGACAGGGCAAAACCAAAAGGAGACTCAAAGGTAATGAAAGGTAATGCTCTCTCCGAGTTGGACAGAACCTCCAGGGCCGATTTATCCTGGGTTTAAATTATACTCACTGAAGCAATGAAACAATTGCTTCCCTCACTTTTTGGAATAAAGTGATGCCGCTTGATCAGTTAGGTACTGCCAGGTCGTTACAGGCTAGTATGGAAACAACTCTGTCACAAGCTACGTTTTTAAATAAAAATCTTCAGTTGAAAAGTTTTGTATAAAAGAACAGAATTTCTGGAAACATGAGGGAAAATGGCAACTACTGTCAGACACCACACAGCGTAATTACTGAGTGCTGAGTAGACACTCCTATGTGGTGAACAGTATTTCCTTTGTGGAAAGGCCCAACCTGCTGAGCAAGCTAAGATCTTTGTAAGCGAGAAGCTGCTCTGTGCAAAGCAGAACGGAGGAAGGCGGGCTTCTATTCATGAACAATCCGTCAGCTAAAGTCGTTACTCAGAAGTGGCTTTTTTCCCTTTCCAGCTCTTTTGTCTTTGCTCAAGTTCAGCTTCAGTGAAAGCAGCTGGGCCCCAGTTTGTGATCAAGTGAGGATTCTTGGAGCCTGGAAGACAGAGTGCAATACTTGAAACAGGCATTTCTGATGGGACGTCGCTCACCCAGCGCTCCTGGGACAGGCAGTGTCGTCACAGGATGATTTGGTAAGGGCTGTCTCTTCTCTAACTGAAAACCTTCTCAAAGGGGACCCGAGGTGCTTCGTGTGAGAAGTTGGCAACTGCTGCAACCTTTTGCATCCTTATCTCCCGACTCCCCCCAAACAATAGTTCTATCTTAGTAAACCCCTTTTCTTTTTGCCTTTAGATATGTCCTTGAAAGAAAGCAATCTCTCCAGCACTGTATTACACAGCCACTTTTCTCTGGGCTGGCATGTTAACTAATTAAGCTTTTCCCAAAAATCAAATATTTTAGCTACTTTGACATGATGTTTTTGGCAATTAGCATTTATGCTAACTGTATTAAACGCCCAAACAATGTAATGTTCAGGTTGATCCTTGCTTTATTTAAAATGAATAAATAAATAATAATAGTATTACTACTACTACTACTAATAACGTTATAGTAGAGCCAGTAGAGGTAAAGACTTGGAAGTTACCATCAGCAGTTCTCACAGATGTGGTATCTACAGCCTGCCATGAAACCAGAAAGCCACGGGTGGAGACAGACTTCATCAGAAAGACAGAAAGACAGACTAAATCACTAGGTGGGCTGAGTATATGAGACAGAATGAATACATGGTTTTGGTAACTTTTATGTTAAGAGCTTACCTGGCTCTATTAGTCGAATTAATCCCTCATGATGAGCTACTTTATCTTTCCAACTCTTGGTGTTATTAGCTGCCGTTTCCAACTTCTTCTTAACCTCCTGAAATAAGACACAGCCCATTGGAAAACAAGAACAACTTTGCTCTGTTTATATAGACAGAAAAAACATCCTTTAAAATCTAATCACAGAACCAAGCTAATTTAGCCAGCACTCCATTTAGAGTAGACAGGAGAACTTCACTTCTAACTATCCTAGGTAATATAGTTGTTGCTGGCTGAATAAAAGCAAATTGTCAAACCAACATCCCAAAGTAACTAGTTTTTATAAGATTCTGTAGCTGTGTAAGTAGGGCTAGTCCTCATGAAGATTGAAGGCATAAGCCATAGTTCTCAAACAGAAAGATGCACTTTTTGTTCCAAACTAAGACTGGGTATATCTCAACGATTAGAAGTCACAAAATGTAAGCTAGGAAAGGACAGCTGCAGTTATACCCAAGCAAGAAAGGTATTCTTCGGTCTAAACTAGTCTTTCGGTGAATTCCAAAGAGAAGGCCACAATGTTTATTTAATCATTTCTAAAATAATGAGTCAACAATCACAGTGACTTACTCCATTATTTGTTTTGTGGATGCTTGTTTGTTTGGGTTGGTTTTTTTGGTTGTGGTGTTTTGGGGTGGGGTTTTTTTAATGTTTATTGTATTCAGCAATTCTTTTGGAGTAGGAAATGATGTTTCATATACAAAAAGCGTGAGATGTCATCTAAAAAAAAGTCAAGTGTTAGCCAAAAGCAATCTGAGGATGGTGTTAGATGTAACACCAACACAGTAAGTTGTAAAGTAGCCAGAACTCCCCCACCTGGGCCCTTGCTTGCAGTCACTGCAGCATTTGTATTCTGTGCCAGTCGAGACAGCTCACTCCCTTGTCCCGCACAGAGCTAACCCCAATGGCATGGAGACAGCATAAACACACTCCCTAGTTAAACAGAAACCCAGTCATGTTTTGTTTCCTGACCTAAATACACACAGGATCAACACCTCCCCCGCCCTAGAAAGTATGCAGCGCTTCACACTCCATAATGGAGTCTGACTCTTATTTCTTCCATGAATACAGCTACTGGCCTTCACCAGAAACAGCAGAGCAGAGAACAGGCCTGCCACTTAGACCACAAGGCATTGCTACATACTGAGAATCTGAGCTAATTCCTAGCTACCCTTGACATGAGTTCAGTGCTTGAATACCTAATTTGAGGAGCAAGGACCTACGGTAGCACATTGTTTTTTCATCTGTAAAAGCCAGAATTGCCCTGTGACATCATCAAAACACTGTAAGAATAATTAAAAAGCATAAGGCCTTTAGTTATGGCAGCAACAGAACTGTGTAAGAAGTTAGTCTGCACTAGAAGACAAACAGTCTACAGGGTATTTCAGGGTATGACTGAGGACAGAAGAATATAGGAGGTGGTGTATCTGAAACATGTCCTCTTTTTCAAATGTAACTACTGGTCTAGGCCAAAAAAAACAACACATAACTATCCTACCTATAATTTTTGTGCCACACTAATTCTTAAATCATAATCATAAAATCATCATAAATCACACAATCATACTGATGAACTTCAAATTCAGTTAAGTTACTGAAAACTCAGCTAAGTATGAAAGGTTGATGAACAGAACAGCTCACCTCATATTGCTCAAGGGCCTCCTTCCTTTCCAGTTCAAGTTGTTTCAGCTGCTGCATAGCAACTTGAAGAGCCTGTTCCTTCATCATTCTCTGGTTTTCTAGCTCTTGTTTCTCTGCTTCTGTCATCTGAATGGTCTGTTGCTGCTGCAAGTGCCATTTTTCCAGTTCAGCTCTCTTTGCTGACTCCTCTTCCAGTAATCTACAGTGCAGATCGCAGTGTTAACCACACTTTAAAGTAAGTTGTAACCATTATGTAGCATACACATAGGGAGCCAAGATAAGTATTTTCTATTCCCCACACCTCAGCCCCTTGGGAAGTAGTGGAAAAGTTATTGCTTGTTGGCTTGTCTTCAATATAGATCTGAAAATCATGCCAGCAGTGCAAGCAGTCTGACTGCTACAAAGGGCTATTCAGACAATTTAGTCAATAATGCAAATACACAACATTGAAAACCACAGAAGAAACAAGCATGCGTAAGTTAGTTATCTTCATTGTCTTAGGAGGCCTGAATAGATGATGAAACGAACCACACTGAACAAAGCCAATATGAGTAAGAGGAGGCTTAACCCTTTCTCAATTACAATTTAAACCTGTGATAAAATACAGCAGAAGGTCCTACCTATAGTTAGTGATTTATAAAATACATGACTGAAAAGTCTGTACAATGTGATCTCCGTTTTTCAAGTGCCGGCATGCACAACGCCTGATGGAAAAATAAAAGCGTGCCTGCTTTTCTGAAATTGCTGAGCACTCGCCCCTGCTCAGGGCTGATCAAACACATGAAAACATCATAAATAATAGCAGCTTCAGCCTTCACAGCTTGAGGAAAAAAAAACCTATCCTGTGTTCGGACTGCAAGCCAGTCCCCCACTCCAGCAGTGCATCCACGATGCAAGCACGCCTCACTAGTATGGCACAGTTACCTATTATTGCAGGAGGGAAGTGGGGAATTGAAATGAATGTTTACTAAGTCAAAACCATACCTGGCTTGAAGCTTCCTTACAGTCTCTTCATCCTGACGTGCCTGTTTCTCATCCTCCAAAGCTCCCTGTAGCTGTTTATACATTTCTTCCAGTTCACGTACTCTCTGTAAATACTGTTCCAGTTCAGATGATTTCTGAGCAACCTGCTCTTCCATTTTTTGTCTTACCTAGCAGCATAAATTGGGGACACAGATGAGCTACCGTTCAACTCACGTTTCCAATATCTGAAGGAATAGCCAGGTTTCCCTCAGATGATGTTTTCAGAAACAACCCTTTTCCTGCTGCCTGCAGAGCAGAACTGGTAACACTGGGTCTAGGTTTGTAGATGTGTAACTAAGAGCATTTTAAAACACAAATAATAGGACAGGTTACTTATATTGCCCTACTTCATGCAGCACAGGTTTTTTACAGGGGTTTAAACCTAACTTCAATCAGTTTGATCTTGTCACTTAGTTTACAGATAGATACACACTAAACCAAAGAAAGGGAAAACTTGTAAGAGTGCCCAGACACAAAGGTCAGGCTGGTTTAATTACACTGTTTCCACTCCTTTCCTCAGGCAAATCCTCCCTTGGCAGCAGCGTATTTTGCACACTTAGATGTGGATGATGCACCATGACAGCACAGGATGGATTAATAAGGGTTGGAAATCAGCTAAGATGACTGGTTTTGCTATGACATGAGCAACTATAACAAAAAACAAAGGTAAGGGGTAGAGGAAGGTGAGAGGATGCTGCATACCCACAACCACCCAGTCTCTGATCCTCATTACTCCCCTTTCACCAACGAGAGCAGGAAGCCCGTGCTGCTCTGCCCCACTCAGCCCATCACCATGCCGGGGGGACAACAGCAGGCAGCTGGCTTTGAACTGAGTCAGGATAAAGCACCAAAACCTCAACATCTAGCAATATGTAACGTGTACTTCACAGAAGGTAAGCACAGCTCCCGAAGTCAGCAAGAAGGACTTGCTGTCAAGTGAGGTGTGAGGGCATGTCCTGCCTAATCGTTCTGCACTCTGTTTACCCTCCCCTTACCAAAGTCCCACTGACCCAGAAAGTGATCATATTCAGGAACTCACACTCAGCCTCTAAAGGGGCACTAGGTGCATTTATGTTCCAAGACATTCCAGCACATCCACTTGACTATTTCTTCTTTTTTCTTCAGCTAACATAAAAGCCTGCTATGCCTGACAAAGCCCTTGAGGACTGAAAATCAGTTCTTTTGTTAATTCTCCGTGTGGATGATAGTAACAGCATTGTAAACCTACAACATTTCTTTAATATTTTTGTTTGTGCGTGTGCATAAAGGTATATACGTAGTATAAAAAAGCAATAGTTTTAGGAATACATTCAAGTCATAAAATTCCTAAACTGCATTTTGATCATGCCTGTGTTCATTTTGCATATTCATATAGAATGTACAGGCTGCAGGTTCTCCATCTCTGAAAACTGCAAGGATTGCTTCAGTCTGGATTTATCTTTCAAACAGCCATCTTTTTCCCAATTTTCCAATAATATTTAAGCTTTTAATGCTGTACAAGGTGTAGGCAAGGTGTTCCAGTGTTTGACTTCACTACAGCTCTATGTAATCTCCAATAAATACAACACAGGTTGCAGTCTCCAGCCTCCTGCAAAATCTGCGGCATCCTTTCAGTGCCTGCCTGTGAGTGGAGTCAGTGCTGAGCGCGCTGCTCACTATGTGTAATCACAGCAAAACACCACGTGCACTACTCACCATTTTTTCTCTCTCCAGCTCCAAACTGAAGCGATCTTGTAATTCAACTTGACTCTGAAGTCTTTTCTTCTCTTCCTCAGCAGCACGAGCAGCTGCTGCTTCTAGTTGCTGGAAGAGAAGGGCAGGGGGTGGGGAGAAAAGAGAGAGGGGAAAAACAACTTGTCAAAACTAAACCGTTTGGAGGGAACAGAATATTAATTAACAATTTTTGTTTTTACAGAAATGGATGGGAGAAACCTTCAAAGGCATTAAGGCACTAGTGTTTGGGGTATTTTTAATGTCTGAGGCTATTCTCAATCTCTAAATGTGCTTTTTAATCTTATTTGCAAGACAATTTTAAATTTACCAATGAAATTATCAGACTTCCTCCAAGTTTTTTGCACAATCAACAGAAACCACTATTATTTCCTTCTCTACCTCATATGGGATAGAAAACTACTATGGAAACCCACATCCCAGGCAGCAGGACCTCACAGGAGCTCCAATAGTGAAAACATGCCAGCACGCACAGAATTCATACAGAAACAGAAGTGAGAAGCACTAAACTGCCATGGGAAAGCAGAAGTGCCACAAACTTTGACTATAATAAGTGATTGTACTATTGTGAATCGCATCCCTTTGACATCCCCTAAATTGCCATGTAAGGAAAATAAAATCCTAGTTGATGATCATCACTTGCAATTAGGGGGAAAATTAGCCAAGGCCTGGGAACAGCTAACAAGGAGGTACCTTCCCACCTCCTTGCAAGTTATTTAACTTTAATGCCGTCTAGATTTTACAATTAAAGATAGTTGTTACAGTTTTATATTTCATCAGGATTTTGATGGAATGAATTTTTAGAATGCAAGGAAGGTCAGAAATATACAAAAACCAGCCAAAACTTTAGCAATACTGAAAACAAAATAATTCTTTCACATAGTTTTTCTAAGAAACTTATCTGATGCTTCAGAGGAAACAGAAAGCAAGCATCCTTCTTTTGTACTATGCCAGGCTGGTGAATTTGTTTCCACAGACCTTCAGTAACAGCAGGACACCCAACATCTTTAGTATTTTTGGAAGGTACTGCATTTAAACCATCTTCCCTCACACAACCTAGATGAACTAATGAGATGCCTTCATGACTGAAACTGCCAAGCTAAAATTTTCATTCCTTTAAGTGCAGAGAAAAATGGGAAATAGAGGGGAAGGCTCCTAGTTTCTGTTTTTAAGCTGTAGAAGGTAGCACAGAATTGCTCTCCTTTGAAAGGCTTAAATGATGCCAACCTTTTAGAAGCAGCGTTGCTCCTCTGCCAGAACATTTGAAAGCACGTAATTGCAGTCAGATCCGAGACGCCTACTTAAGTGAAATTTTCTTTTGGTTTCCTTCCCTACTTTGAAATTTAACAAACATTGCCAATACTGAGCTGAGAGGGCAAACGTGCAGAGCAACAGGCAAGGGTGGGTGCTAGGCTTCTGCCAGAGCCCAACAAGAAAATAAACTGCTTGTCTGCTCTACCAGCAACTTCCTGCTTAATTCATGTCAGAGGAACCAGCTCCTGTCAGGTAAGGTTACTCACAACAACTCACAACAACAACCAGGGGAAAGTCCCCAATGTTGGGAGTACCAGCAACTTCCTGCTTAATTCATGTCAGAGGAACCAGCTCCTGTCAGGTAAGGTTACTCACAACAACAACCAGGGGAAAGTCCCCAGTGTTGGGAGTGTGTGGAAAGGGGGAATCCACAGGAACACATGATACCAACAGGGGTTAGTTAGCAAACACAGAGTCTCTGTAGCCCACAGAGGACCTCCAAACTGAAACAGAAAGGGTGCACAAGTCTTGTGCATGCTCTCTTGGTAATAAAAACTTACCTTTCAGTCTGTTCAATACGTGTAGCTCAAAATTCCACTTAAAAAATATGGAAAAAAAACCCTATTGTAGGTAAAGGCTCTTACTCTTCTGAAATTCTTTAGTGCAGGAGCTATCAAAATACAAACCAGTCTTAAAGTCCACTTTGGCAGATGCTGCATAAAGTGGCACACTCCATCAGGAGGCAAATCTAACTGTAGGCTTTCCAGAACAATTCAGTTTCCTGAACCACTCACAAGGCCTTTTCCTTGAAGAACATTTTTCTAACTAGTCAAACGCTAAGTTCCTCCAACACAGTACCCCCCCGCTAATTTCACTTAGTCAAAGTGCAGTAGTTCATGTCAGAGACTAAGCTACTTCCCTTGAGAAATCATTTTACTACAGCCCACTTCAAAAGGTGCTTCCTGCCTCAACTCTCTTCAGTTTATCCACTGTGATTCCTACAAAAATCCCTGGAGCCTGTCAACATCCCCCTGCTCTCTTGGTGTTGCTCTCATGTTCTCTCCCCTCCTTTTTCTCCATAAGATAAACTCAACACAGAAATCCAGCCTTACGATTTCTGTTAACAGGGGTATTACTTATCATCAATTTGCGGGTAACACAGGTATATTTTGCATTCTGAATATTAAACACATGGTAGAATACAGGTGATCAAATTAAATTTAAAAATGTTTTTCCACTGTCAGACTCCATTTAAGGCAAACAGAATAATACCCACATCAGTGGTGTCAGTGCAAAGTTAACTAAAAAAAAAAGACATATTTCTCTTCACTACAAATTGTGTCTTAATGACAAGACTTTTTAAGATATACATTTTGGATTACTTTATTTGCTTTCTAGACTCAGCAGCTCTAATATGTTCTCACAATATTTATAGCTTCTCCCCACTGCAAAGAATTATTAACGTTTCTTCTAAGTCAGGGCTAAAATTAATTAGAGTGGGTTTTATTTATTAAAAGCTCGGGCAATGATGCAGACTTGTCCTAAATGGGAATGCAAAGAACCCAAATCAATTTAGGAAGGCAGTGAATGAAACACTTTAGACTAAGCACAGAACAAAGATCTGGACTGCTCTAGCAGCAGGGACTCAGCAGCCAAAACGTTAGGTAGCAGTGGCGAGGGAGGCATTTGATGGTGATCTACGCTATTTCCAAGGCACACTCCTCGTTAAGAGGTATCATGGCAGTGAAAGCCACAGTATCTTCCTGCAAGCCTTTAAAAAGAAAACCTAGAAAGTATATCTGGATACTAATCAAGTCTCTGTGGAGAACTATTGTAGATGTAAGTTCCAAAGTACAAAGATCCACAGGCATGTTCCATCTACTGTTATAAAGAGTGTGCAGCCACAGCAAAGGCACCTTGTTGTCTCCTGCCAGTAGTTACACTAAAATGCTGTCTACAAGGAAAATAATGCATTCAGCAAGTCTACTGCTAATACTCAGAGATTTCTAGTCCAATTCTGAGGCTTTCAGAAGTCAATCCAGCACTTACAAGGAACACACATTTAAACAGTTTATAAATGGCTACTATGTGTCTCAGCTCTGTAAATCTCTTAACAAACTACTGTAATAAAATTACACCTATACATATTCACAAAATCACTTTGCACCTTTGGAATCTTTGTAAATTAAATGTCTGTCTCTGGAAACAACTACTGTGTGAAAAGAACAGTTCCCCACACACACAATTCACATAACATAACTTTGGAAAAATAACGTGAAGCCCCAAGTCTGACAGACATGCGTGACACAGAAAAGAAAAACAAACCCCCCACAAGTAACTGCAAACAAGATTCTCTAGACCCAAGACACCAGCCACACAGCCAGGGCTTTCTTCTACACTAGCTTCACAACACCCTCATAAGTACAGAGGACAGGGCTGGGCTACATGATTTACTCTGAGCCTGCTAACAGTGCTTAGAACCTGCTGTGGTCGATGTCAAAGGCTTTACTGCAGCTCAACCAGCAGATCTGCACGCTTATGGCGCTGATGCTGACACAAGCTCACCTCCCCTGGAGGCGTTCACTCAGGGAACACCTGAACAGGAAATAGGTGCCTAATTGTACGTCAAGAAGCCCAGTGAGATTAAAGTTCGAAGGGCAGCAGCTCCCACTCCCACCTTTCGCACAGTCTCCAGCTCCTTCTGCTTGTTCTCGTTGGCCGTTTGCAGCTCTTTCATCTGCCGCTCCAGCTCTTCGTGCTCAGCTAACAGCTTCTGGCGCAACTCTTTTCGTTTCTGGCGTGCTTCTTTGTGGGGTGGAGGGCTCCCCGCTCTCAGCAGATTTACAGTGGTCTGTATGGCTGGAAAGGAGCATTCCAGACAAAGGGAGAGGCACAGAACACCAGTGAAGGGAAACTTTCTGGATAGCCTTAATGAATAAATACTTGTGATATTGTGTTATTTGCTGGTTTGGGGCTTTTCTTCATGTATTTTTAAGTCAGAAATAACTGCTGTCAGTTCTCCTAACTCGCATCAGGCTAGCTGTCAACACGAACCAAAAGTGAAAGACACGTGGCTTTCAGTATTGGCTGTGTGCCACAAGGATAAGGTCTGGCAGTTCCAATGCATCATGTCAGTTCCGATACTGATTTCTGATGGGCCATGGAGGTACAAATCACTTGTACAAATAGGTGAAAAAAAACCAAACAAAAAACCAAAAAACCCCAAACCAAAAACCCCAACACTTCAAGATTTCTTACTGCCTAGATTCAGGGACCCTAATGAGTTAGTAAGATGTTATCCAACATACGCATCACTTCCCTAGAAGCAACCTCAAACCCTTTATTCTTACTGATACTCCAAAGGAAAACCTTCTCCCAGTAAGACAGTTGCTCTCACTCAGTTACATTCAATGAGGAAATATTTAGGGAGCAAAGCTGAGGAGTGGCAGATGAACTCGGTATTTTATTCAGCTGCGACAACTGTGAAAACATATCTCCTCTTGGAACTAAGTAATCATTTGTCATACATCTGACTTTGGTGCAATTAGACACATGCTTTAGGTAAGGAGGGAAGTGCAAATGAAAGCACACAGCTCTAAATATGTAAATGCTGCACAAACTTGAATGGCAATAGCAACAGTGGCTTCGCAAGGACTTCTACCTTACTCTGCAAAAGATGCACGTAACTGTCACTCATCACGTATCTGGGAAGGTGTTACAGGAGTAAGTTCACTGTGGGAATAGAAAAGAAAGCCCTAATGGCCAGCTGTATCCTCCACTCACCAAACCATACTACCTCAAGCACAACTGTAAAAGCAAAGCCAGTATTTTACAGTGCTGAAATGAACAAGATCTACCCTTCTTCCCAAAAGCAACAATTTACAATATATTTCCCCTTCCCCATCCCTAGAAAATGCAAATGACAGTAACTATCCATTTAACTTTGTTTATGGCTGCCTAAATTGAGGCACCTAAATGACAGAAGAAGATTCCCTCTACATGGATCCTTAGTTCTTCCTAAATCTCAGGCTCCTTAAAGATCTTTTCCATGTGCCCAAAACTGAGACATCAAAACTCACCAGACCAAGATTTTCAAACCTGAGTAAAGCACAGCTTCAAGACTTCAGCTTACCTTAACTTTCACATAACTAAGGTTTTTGAAGCCTCACCTTGAATCCACTCCTGCTTCTTCTTTTTATCAGAGGCACTGATCTCAAAGCTTTTATCGAGACATTTTATGAGAAAAAGGCACTTCTTCCCATCTTTATCAGGCAAGGCCTAGAATGGGTAGCAAAAGGATTAGCCCTGCAAACACTAAAATTTAAGTTACGCTGTCAAGTATGCATATACACATGCAGTTATTTGTTACAAAGCCACAAATAACAGCACTAAGAACCTTTATTAAGAGTGTTTATGAACTGGGATTTTTTTAATGAAGTAACAAAAGCTGTGCTAATGAAAGATATCAGAAAGATATCTTCTGATATGAGAAAGATATCAGAAGAATTCTGATACCCACACACAAAGAAGGATTCATTCTTATCTTTAGAGACACTCACGCCTTGTTGTTTGTTTGGTCTTTTTTTACCTCTACACAACAGTTGCCATCCAGGATGATGTCTCCCTTCTTGTCCTTCAAATCTTCACTTACATAGTAGGAAATAATATTGGGTTTTAGCACAAACCATCGTTCCATCCAGTTTTTCCTTTTGTGACCTTTTTTCAGCATGTAGCCCTGTAAAAAGCAAGGGAGCAGCTGAAATGCCCAACCTCTATTGAACTGCCTCGTCTTTTGGTTATATGGCACAGCTACACGTTGGGCAGAGAAGAGAT